CATCGCCCAGCCCTGCCGCGGCTTTGCTGCCGGCGAGGGCTCGCCTGGCGGGGGTTGGTCACGGTGCCTGCACGTGCAGGTCTTTGCCGATCTGGGTGCGCGTAGGTGCGCATAGGTGCGTGCGTGCAAAGAGAAATGTGCCCGTGCACAACTGCCTGGTGGGCTTATCCTGCGGGGTGCTGAGCACCCCAGGGCGGAGCAGCAATTCAGGTCGCCCGTGCGGGCAGAGGGATGCTCCGCATCGGAGTGCGTCTGCATGCACGGGTGAGCAGGCGTGTGTCTGTGTTTTGGTTTCTGTGCCTCTTTTTCAAAGGAGCATGTAAATCTGGGGCGTTTGGCTGCTTTTCCCTCGGAGGGGCTCCCCGAGAGCCTTGCGTGTCACGGCTTTGTCTCCGAACTGGGGGGGGTGTATCTGCCGGATGCCAGAGCGCATCTGTTTCGAATGTGCAGTTATGTCCATCTGTAGGCATGGAAACTTGCTCCAGCCTTGCATGCCTGCATTGCACAGCGCAGGGTGAGCCTGTGCCTAAATCGGTGCCCGCGCGCCTGCGTGGGTGTGCAAAATGGGGGAGAGCAAGAAAGGAGAGGACAGAGATGGAGAAATCAAGGGGATAAAATCAGGGAGGACTTTGCACCAGGTTAAATGCGGTTATTATTTCCCATCCAGATAGGGGGACCAGGTTGCTGCTAGAGACCAGTGCAGCTCCTTGGAAGCGAATGGACCAGGATGTGCAAATGTGGCTTTATGTCCCCTTGGAGACAGGTCAGCCGCGCAGTGCCCCAGCGTGTGGTGCTTTTCGCCCAGCTTGGCAACTGCGTCATTGCTGGGGTGAGGTGCTGGAGCGGAGCAGTGAGTCAGTGGCCAGGTCTCCGTAGCACGGGGAGGCCGTGCCGGCACTGCAGGCAGGGGGGCGAGCACCCTCCGCGGAGCTGGCAGCAAGCTGGGGTTTGGGACCTGCTGCTTGCAGAGGTTTCTGCCGAGCTCCGAGACGCTGCGAGCATGTCACGGGGTGGGCAGGAGAGGTGGCAGCTGAAGGTGCTGAGATACCACTTGGTGGCATGGAGGGAAGTTGCTGGGAGCTGGCTGGGCAGAAATAGTGTGAGGGGCCACAGACAAGATGCTGTCAGCAAAGGTGTGATGGGGAAGGGCCGGAAGAGCTGCTGCATTGAGGGTACAACTGCTTTGCTAGGCAGGCACGCGACACAGCGGGGTGCGAGATCAGCGCGGAGCCCGAGCAGTTCCCAGAGCCCCAGCCGGCACCACTGTGACGGACCATGTTGAGAGCTGCATTTCTGCAAGTACACAAATAAGCAGGCTGACAGCAGGGGAAAGCCAGGATTTGCACAGCTCATCCCAAACCCTCAGCCAAGCTCTGTGAGCCAGAGAGATGCAGGCCCTCGCCAGCTCCCAGGAGCATCTGTCCCTGCCGACAGGCAGCTCTAACCTCTCCCTCCTGCTGCGGCCTGATTCAATTAGAGAGCGGTGGTGCAGTGGCAGAGCTGCTCATTCTCGGTGCTAAGGGGAGCTGCTTGAGCTCAGAGCATCCTACTGATTTTTGCCTTAGCTGGAAAGAGGCAGATGCCACTGTAGCGCTGAGACATGCTCCCGAGTAAGTTATAGGCCTCGGTGGACTTTTCTGGGCTCACAAGTCAGTGCACTGTAGAGCTGGTGGGGAATTTTCCACTGGGATGGTTTCCAATGCATCATGTGGTTTCTGCAAAATCAGCGGTTTCCCAGTGGGGAAATTCCCATTTTGTGGGCTCGGAACAGGAAATCCAGATGAAGTGTTGTACCTCTCGAGTGAGAGCGTGCTCCTTCTGCCTCGTCAGTCCGGTGCCATGAGCTCCACAGTGGGGAATGACGTTCCTCCCAGACACTTTGCTCGCCCCTCCAATGAGCTGCTCCCTGCAGGGCTCCGGACCACAGGGCAATGGGAAAGATTGGGCTAAATTGAGGGGGAATCACAGCAGATGCTGCTGGGCAAAGAAGTGTGGCCAGCGAGGCCAGGAAAGGACCTCCTCAAGGCATGACCCTGGGGCTGGGGTGATTCACGGTACCCGTTGGCACCCCAAAGAGGAGCAGCATCCCAGAGGAGCTGCGAGACCACAGAGGTGAAAGGCTGCACCTCGAGTCTGCTGGCAGGGCAGCACAGCCGCAGCCTCCTGGGTGCCCCAGGGTGGTCCAGTGAGCCGCTGGGGTTGACGCGGGGCATCCCTGAGGCAGCTGCCAGGAGGAGAGCTGGAGGGAGCTGGGGTGACAACCTCTGCACTGCTGGCCTGCTGGGAAGAGCGAGAACTCATCTCCTATGGTCCAAGCGTGATGGGGAACCCTAGGGAGGGAGCAAAGCCAAACAGTGGAGGAGCGGGTTGGCCACGAGCAGTTTTCTGTCCTAAAAGGGACCTCAGGGTGCCAGCAGACCAGGAAGGTTCCCTGCACCCTTCAAGAGGTCTCTCTCTTTCCCAGGAGGTTCTCCCGTCCCAGCAGGCCATGGCAGCCTGCAGGCTCCCAGACTAGCGTGCCAAACCCATGCTCTTTCCGCTGTCTTCTCAGCTCAGCTCTCATCCATCCTCACCCCGAGACAAACCCACATTGTGAGAAGGTGCCACATAGATAACAGCAGCCCCAGGCAAGGAAAAGGGCTTCGCCAGGGGACAGTGGGGCAGAGGCAGGGAGGGGGATTTGCAAGGGCTGCTCCCCGCGGGGCACTCTGCGCTCCCCAGGCCTCCCAGCGCAGGCAGCACGTCCAACCGGCGGTCCAGCGGTGGTGGCCCGGGCTCTGCTGGAGTGCAGGACCCGGAGCCCAGAGCCAGGCGCTGCAGGAAGGGCCGCGAGGCCCCTCCGGCCCTGGGGGCCAAGGGAGCGGAGGGAACGGGC